AAGCAGGATAGTAGAAGATATTCAGTTATCCTTATGAGAATAAAACAACCACATACTTAATCTTACCTTATATTCAGATAGCGAAGAAGTACTGTGGCAGAGCTTATGGCGATAATAAGCAGTTTGTATTATCTGCAAGATATCAACACCAATACAAGTATATAATCCATAAGTATTAAATCAATGCAATGTTAGGATGGACCATAACTTATACCGATCTAGGTACAGAGACCATGAAAAACATATCAGTCAAATGTTTGTCATCAACAAGCTGCATTACATTATATTATGTAGGATGAATCAACCACTTAAAGCCACACCTCGGTTGCAAATTCCAGATATAAGGACCACTAGAAGAATCCCCATGAATATCAGAAGAGAGGACCGTAATGGAGTTACCTGTTAAGGGATTTCCTCTCTTGTTCTGATAGCAGGTGAATTTTACTTGAAATAGTAAACCTGGTAGAATGGCCTGGGGACTAGAAAGACCTTCCAGTGTCAATTAAAATACTTGCAATACTAAGTATCGAAAACTTACCTGGATCATATGAGGATAAAAGAATAAATTTAATTGCAGAAAGGAAATTATAATATTCCCTTTCACCACAAGGGAATCTTGTCAGAAATTTCTGAACATTAATTCCTTAAGAACCAAAAGCATGCTACCCCTGACATATCCTAAAGGGATTGCCAAACTCTCAGGTCCCCAAGGGATAAAAAAGAATACTGCATATAAAAAATTAGTACATTCTCCAAATTATAAAGATTATGCTTTAAGGAAAGGTACACAGTTCTAAAGAATATGTTAAACCAATTCCAGAGAACTGAGTTAAAAACTTAATAAAAAGCACAAACCAGACCAGAAGTAGTGAATTCTTCAGAGCAGAAGTTTGTGGAAAAATAAAATGATACTAAAGTTAAGACCAGGAGAGAAACAAGCCAATATGTACAGCTTTTTAAATCAGGTAATAGCTTCAGAGTTACCTACTTATGAGAACGATTAATAGCCCAATTTGTGCTCCTGCAACCAGCATGATCTACTAAGCTGTGCATCAGTAACAGCATATATCTGAAGATAAAACACTGCCACCAAAACATTCCTTATCTTGATAAGAGAGGAGAGGATACTTGGCAATAGAAAAACTTCTCAGAAATGATCTCATGTATAAATACATAGGAGTGCACACAAAAAAGGCCTTAATTTTGTTAAACAGTACCATGCTCCATTTTGGAAATTCAGGTCTCCTTCTCTCCTGGGAGACCAGTAACACCTGCAATCCATCTGAAGTGGTAAAATGTGTTAATTGCTTATCCCGAAACACCTGTGGGAGAAGGAATCTAATACAAAGCCAAAAGCAGTATGTTTCCTTATCCACTTCATTTAAAAAAACTGAAATAGAAAATCCACAGGAGGCAATAATTATTTACCCAGTATAACAGTGCATTTGTATTTGCTAAAATTAGGCAGTGCTACATTTTCAGTGCAAAACCCAGACTTTAGATCATTTGTATATATTAAATCTATCAATGCCGTGTAAAAATTAGGGTTATCTAATACTACCAACCTGCATACAGATTATGTGAATCACATACATTGTGGATGTTTCTAACAGCACCTTATACACAGATATATCAGTTACATATACTGAGTCTGTTCAAATAGTAATAGCCTACCTCTGCTATATACAGTGACACTATGCCTGTACACATATTAAGATTATATGAGTGAGATAAATTGGGCTGTTTTCAACAGAACTTCATGCACATATTACACCACTCATATATACTGAGGTTGTGACTAATAACCCACACAAACAAACCTGTATTAGATTGGACTCATAGAGGATGTGTCTTATATCATTCACATATATTGTGTTTCCACTAATACATCAAGCATATAGTGAACAGATCCACTGAGACATATACTGAGACTATGTTTTCAGAGCAAATAAAGAACACAAACTGAGCCGAGACTTCCGATCATCTCATACGTAGACAATATAGTGGATACATATACTGAGGCTGTGTCCCCATAGTAACTCATACACAGAGCCTATAGTGTGTACATATACTGAGGCTGTGTCCCCATAGTAACTCATACATATGGCCTATAGTGGACACATATACTGAGGCCATGTCCTCATAGTAATTCATACACAGAGCATATAGTGCATACATAAACGGAGGCTGTGTCTCCATAGTAACTCACACATAGAGCATATAGTGCATACATAAACTGAGGCAGCCTCCTCATTGTAACTCATACATAGAGCCTATAATGGATACATATACTGAGGCTGTCTCCATAGAAACTCACACAGAGCATATAGTGGACACATATACTGAGGCTGTGTCTCAATGGAAACTCATACATACATACATATATACATATATATATATATATATACATATATATATATATATATATATATATATATATATATATATATATATATATATATATATATATATATATATCATATATAGGATACTTATACTGAGGTGGTGTACTCACAGTAACTCTTATATAGACCACATAGCGGATACATATACTGAGGCCGTATCCTCCTAGTAACTCGTACATAGAGCATATAGTGGATACATATACTGAGGCCGTGTCCTTATAGTAACTCATACCTAGAGCATTTACTGGACACACTCTGTTCATATGTTAGAGCATAAAGTGAAAACACACCAATGCTGTACCACCACCAGATCATGTATGGATACTGAGGCCCCGTGGTCTCATATGCAGTATATTCCTCCACTCTCTGGAAAAGCCTGCTTATTTGTGATAATGCACAGATAACAGCAATCAATGCCACATATCTTGATAGGAACAAGTGTGTGTGTGTGGACTTTAAAATCATATACATGTGAGTACTTCAGTCACCCAGGGAAGGTCTCTTACCTTGGATATTTCTTCAGGACTGTGAAATTCCAGCAGACTTTATACAGCCAGGATATCCATTATTAGCACTCTTTTTCACAATGCCTTATTGCATCATAAGCACTCTTTTGCACAATGCCTCCTTGCATTATCAGCACTCTTTTGCACCAAGCATCCTTTCATGTATAACTTACCTAAATGCTCACCACACAAACCTCCTAAATGTGACCTATTTGTTAGAAGGAAGCCTAATGTAAGCCGCTGGGAGGGACTGAAAGAACAGAGACCCAGGTGCCTATACTAGTTTTAATCTAATTACTAATGCACTTACCTGAACAGCTGCAGGCCTGTGTTTCAAGGGCAAAATGGGGATTTGAACAACTGACAGCCTAAACTCTTTAAACTATAGGCTTCCATCTGTACCCATTATGCAGTCCATCATCACCAGTGGGAGGAGGTTTAACCAACCCCATACAAGGTGGAACACCAAGAATAGGTATACCCAGGTAGTCACCTTATGGAAGTGCTGTTTACTGGGTCTTCAAGGATAAAGGCTTAGACTCGGCTGGGCCTCATGTATGCAGTGGACCGCTGTCATCCCCTCAGGGAGAGAGATAGGTCAGACTCCTGATTGCTGAAGGAGGTACCCAGGCTGGCAACTGTTACAGATGTGCTGTTTGCTGGGTCTTCAGGGATAAGAGGCTGAACCCTGGCCTGGTATTATGTAGGCAATATATCACATTCATCCCCTGAGTGGGTACCCGAGCTGGGCTGTTGCTGGGTCTTCAGGGATAAGAGGCTGATCCCAAGCCTGGCTTCCTGTAGGCAGCATATCACATTCATCCCCTGAGGGGGTACCCAAGCTGGCCTGTTGCTGGGTCTTCAGGGATATGAGGCTGAACCCTGGCATGCAGTGGACCATTTTCATCCCTTAAGAGAGGTTGGGTCCGACCCCCGGTCACTAAAGGGGGTACCCAGGTTTGCAGTATTAACAATAGTGCATTGCTGGGTCTTCAGGGCTTAGAGGCTGAACCCCGGCATGGCTACAAAAATATTGCCTGGTGAGCATAAAAGAAAATCTAGGCCTGCATAAGCAGACTCCTTCCAAACTGCTGTGAAGGACAGGAAAAAAAGACTGCCTGATAGGAAGGGGGAGGATCTATTTATACCAGTTTCAGAGTTCTATTTCCTGTCCTTTCTGCTGTGAGGGGAGGAGCTAACCCATGAGTAAATGCTGCCATGAATAATGTCAGGAAAAAAAGGTTTAACAGAGGCCTAGGAATAAGTGAATCCAGAGGCTATAATAAAAGGCCCAACAGAGGCCTGGGAAAAAGTGACTCCAGTGGCTGTACTAAAAGCCATAAAGGCCTAGGAATAAAACACAGAAGCTTAGGAATAAGTGACTCCAGTGGCTATATTAAAAGGCCCAGCAGAGGCCTAGGAATAAACTAATCCAGCTGCTATTTTAAAAGGTCCCACAGATGCCTAGGAATAAGTAATCCAGTGGATATATTAAAATACACAAGGGCCTAGGAATAAGACACAGAAGCCTAGGAATAAGTTTGATTGGAATTCAAATTAGCAGGAAACTCTTACCATTTAGATGAAACCGATGAAGGGGTTATATCCTTATATATATGCTCTGTATGTGCCTGCCCAGCCTTGGTCACTGCAAGAAATAGGAAAGTACAAGATAGTGAGTTGTACTTTAACCTTTTCAGTGATGGAATGATAGTCCATCTCACGTTAACTCCTTCAGGGATGAAATGTTATTATTATTATTATTAATATTGCCATTTATATAGCACCAACAAATTCCGTAGCACTTTATAATATTATGAGAGGGGGATTTAACTATAAATAGGACAATTACAAAAAACTTACGGGAACAATAGGTTGAAGAGGATGCTGCTCAATCGAGCTTACATTCTATAGGAGGTGGGGTGTAAAACGCATTAGGGGGGGTGGAGCCTGACCTCAAGGAAAGATGGACGCTTGAATCCTCAGCTCCCTCTCCCCTAAGCATTAAAATTCGCAAACATCCGCAATACCCTTTGTGCCCATAACACAAAAGTAACCCCCACTCGTAACATTCCTGGCTCCTGGCACCATGGGCAGCGGAAAAAACAAAAAGAAGGAACAAACCCCATCAGTAGCTTCCATGTTCCGCACGCCGGGATCCATGCAGAGCGACTCCCAGCACACGGAGGACGAGGACTCGGGTCCTGAGGAGGGTACACACACATCGGATCCCATGGTCCCCCTCACCATAGGCATCCTGAGAGGAATGTTAACCAAAGCCACGGCCGACATAAAATCCCATGTGGCGTCTGAAATCAATAAACAGCTAGCAGTCCTCAAAGCGGACGTGACCGCACTATCCACACGGACCGATCAAACGGAAACTCTCATATCCACACTGACAGCAACCATCACAGCTCACACCCAAGAAATAGCCTACTTCTGCAGCTGGATGACTGCACTAGAAGACAGCCTGGAGGATCTCAATAATAGATCCAGGAGGAACAATATCCAGATTCGGGCCTACCCTACCCGAACAATTGATCCCCACTCTAAAAGCCATCTTCAAAGTAGCAGTACCGGAACTCATGGAATGGGACTTAGAAATGGACAGGGCGCACCAGGCCTTAAGACCTCCGACTCTCAACCTGTCCACCCCCAGGGATGTTATCACCTGGCTACATTATTTTCAGGCTAAAGAAAAACTGCTACATGCCGCCAGGGACTGTCCACCTAAATGCAAAGACTCCCGTCTTACCTTTTTCCAGGACCTGGCCCCGTCAACACTAAAGAAAAAACGAGACTTGAAGCCTCTCACTCTGGCCCTCCAACAACAAGGCCTGAGAAACACCTGGGGATATCCCTTTAAACTGCTAGTTAGAAAGGATGATCAGACCCATGTCCTGCTGTTGACCGCAGACATGGGCCCTTTTGCCGACTCCCTGGGCATACAATTGGCACATCACACTCCCCTCTCAGGAAACTGGGGGACAGCCACCACAGAGATGGGCAGAGATCCCCACACCCACACAAGAAAAAGAAAATACCCATGCTTCTAGAAGGAACAGAACACTGAGCATTGATCCCGGCGCGCCGTGGAACACTAGGTACGCCTACACACCTTGCTGACATACACCTCTGCCCCTAAAACAGCTAATGATCAAGCACTCATCTCGCGTCCCCGACAATTGAACTAGGCCTCCTCTCACTGACAACATTCCCACTCACACCTCATACCCGCTTCTCCCGATCAGAGGTGCACAAGCCTCCCCATGAACATTTACTTTCAAACCGGGCCCTTTGGAATTACCCTTCCGGACACGATGGAGGAACCCCTCAGGCCCTCTCTCTCCCAGGACTCCTAGAAAAGTATCATATAACATCCACCCACAAGAGCGAAGGGGGCAAAGCAGGCCCAAAGCCACATCTGGAGGAGAAAGGGACCAGACAAGTACTCACCAACCATCTCTTGCTACCCCCAACTCACCTGCAAAGCGTGGACATCATCGGATACCCTTCAACACAAAGTCACCGGACCGATCATCCTCCACCAACCACCTGAGGGGGACAGGATCATTGTCAGCCTTTACAACTCCCCCCCAGGAAACAGGGACACTCAAGCGAGAACCGTGGACTCAAATATTTTTGCGACTCGCCAAAATCCGAACCCGTTACAAGGGGCAACCCACAATTAACCACAACCCCTATGATCAGATAGGTACATGGGAGACGAAGAGATACCCCCCGACTCCCACACCCGCCCACCTGCAACAAGACATAAATTGGACCAGACCAACAGACTCCTACCCCACAAACCACGGACAGTACCCACATCGGGCGTTAATTACATAAAAAAAAAGGGGGGGGGGAGTGGAAAGGGGAAAAATGTCCCCCTCAATACGAGGAGGGTACACATACTAACCTTTCGATGACCCCGAACACCCTCTCCCCCCACCTACCTTACCCAACCGAACAACCCACATAGACATATTCGAAACCGCAAGATGAAATCTCCAATCTCAAAGACACCTGAGACCTACCAAAGACACAAGACGAACCATAAGCCTAACGGACACAAAAAACCAACCCCCACTCCCGCACAAGAACTGAGACAGAGGGCCGCAGACCTAGAGACAGACGTGTAATGTCTTTACAAAGCTAATATGGTTTATCAATGTTAAATATTGTTTAGAAATGTTTATTAACTTTTTACTTTTGTTTACAATTGTATACCAGTGTACCTATGCTGCATAAGATCATAATCTGCTCCCAAAATTGCCAGCGCACAACTGTAATGCATCCGAGCTGAACTCCAACAAGCCCGGCGAAACCTCCACCAACATCTCGCCCACCTGCACTAAAAAAAGGCATCCACATGCTTCGCAACACATGAAAGCACAAAGGATGGGTAACACGGCACGAGACAGAAACACAGCCACATATCACTTGGACACCATTAGTGAAGCTTTACACTAAGTTCTGAGAAGGAGAGGAGATGGGATTGTGAAAGCCTTCCTCATCTCCCCCTTACCTACACACACGAGCCCCTAATATAACCACACCCCCACGGGCACCACCAAAAGCCCCCCACAACACCTGGCATACACTCCGTAAGATCAGGGACCACACACAAACACCCCCCAAACCTCCCCAGGACCCTTCCCTTCCTTTCCCCCTGCCACCCCCCACAAATGGGGGAGGCCAGACCCGTGGACCCACCCCCCACCCACCGGACCATATACACGTGCCCCATCATGCCCAGATCAATCTCGTGCATATCGCACAACTGCAAAGGCCTTAATAACCCGGACAAAAGGCATCAACTACTCAGATGGGTGAACCGCGCAAAAGCAGATCTCATCCTCCTTCAGGAGACACATTACGACAACGCCAGACCCTTCCTCCTCAAGAACAAAAACTACACCACATGCCATCTAGCTAACTCCCATTCCAGAAAACACAATGGGGTAGCCATATTGGTGCACAAGTCCTGCCCAGTCTGTTTCACATGCACCATAGCAGACCCCCAAGGTAGATTCCTGACCATTGCGGACCACATGGGTAACTACAAATATGCAGTTACATCCATCTACACTCCTAACACTCCAGATCCACAATTCTGGACAACCATGAGGGCCCACCTAAAGCTATTCACCTCCTATCACATAATACTGGGGGGAGATTTTAACGCAGTAATGGCCTCCAAAGTAGACCGCAACCGCACAAAACAAACCAAAACTAGGAATACAACCCACCCCACGACTCTAGATAAATCGCTCTCGTACTTTGCAAACCTTACGGGCCTACAGGACATCTGGAGGCTACAGCAACCCATGACACCAGATTTCACATTTTACTTGAACCCACACTCCTCTTATTCCAGGATAGACATGTTCCTGATATCCCCCTCCCTAATACCCCACACCAAGAAATCCACGATAGGCACCATAACATAGTCGGACTATGCAGAAATATCCCTGGAAATAGAGATCCCCCTGACGACCAGAACATGGACCTGGAGACTTAACCCCACCCTACTCCACAATACGGAAATTAAGAAAACCATACACACAGAAATAAGTAACTATTTCACAGACAACAAAGACTCAGTCCCCTCAATGGGCACGCTCTGGGCGGCACATAAAGTTGTAATTAGAGGAAAACTGATTGAACAGGCCACCAAACTTAAAAAGCAGAAAGAACTGGAACATCACCTACACTCACTACGGGCGATTACAGACAAACACAAACAACACCTCACCCCAGACTTGCTCCAACAAATCAAAACCCACCAACAAGCCAATAAAACATTCATGTCCAAAGACTCCCAAAAAGCATTACTATGGACCAAGCAACTATTCTATGACAAATCTAACAAAGCAGACTCCCTTCTAGCCCACAGATTCCGTCACAAAATCAACTCACCCAAAGGGAGCACGTAGACCAAATAGCCACAACATTCTCCAACTACTTTACAATGCTGTACGACCACTAGTGATGTCCCGAACGGTTCGCCGGCGAACGGTTCCTGGCGAACATAGCATGTTCGCGTTCGCCACGGCGTGCGAACATATGCGCGGTTCGACCCGCCCCCTATTCGTCATCATTGAGTAAACTTTGACCCTGTACCTCACAGTCAGCAGACACATTCCAGCCAATTAGCAGCACAGCCTCCCTAGCAGACCCTCCCACCTACTGGACAGCATCCATTTTAGATTCATTCTCAAGCTGCATGCTTAGTAAGAGGAGGAAAGTGTAGCTGCTGTTCATAAGATAGGGAAAAGCATAGCTAGGTTAGGGATAAGGGTATGCTTTTTGGATTTTTTTTTTCTATATAATGTAAATGCACTTAGTTGTCTGCCACTGCTGCCAGCTTCTGTGTCAGGCTCACAGTGCCCATTTCCCCAGTCAGTGCCACCAATTACATCTGGTGTCACAATAGCTTGGATTTAAAAACAAAAAACTTTTTTCACTGTTATAGATTAATAGCAGTCAGTTGTCTGCCACTGCTGCCAGCTTCTGTGTCAGGCTCACACACGCATACTGTGCCCATTTCCCCAGTCAGTGCCACCAAATACATCTGGTGTCACAATAGCTTGGATCCCTAAAAAAAAAATCAAGGCCTTGACCACCCTCTATGACCATCCAAGAGCTACACTCCTTATACCCAATGCAAAACCTCCAGAATTCACGATCCAGAACGGTACCAGACAGGGATGCCCACTATCCCCACTCCTTTTCGCACTCTCCCTAGAACCTTTACTATAAAAAATACGCCACAACCCAGCAATAAAAAGCCTAAGAATAAATAGGGACGAATACAAAGTAGCAGCCTACACCGACGATATCCTCCTGACAATAACAGACCCAGCCCACTCCCTTCCACCACTGCTCATGCTTCTAGAAGAATATGCAACCCTCTCGGGATACAAATTAAATCTAGACAAAACCAAAGCACTCCCCTTGGGAATCCCAGATACAGACCTCATGGACCTCAAGAAGAACCACCCTTTCAAATACAACAAAGACAACAAACGATACCTAGTCACACTTCTTCCGTCCAACCTCTCGACCACATACACCATAAACTACTCCCCCTTACTTCAACAAGCACATAAAGACCTCTAAAACTGGAATACCATGCCAATCTCATGGATGGGGAGAATAGCATCCATAAAAATGAACCTGCTCCCCAGATTCCTCTACCTCTTCCCCAATCTCCACCAAGGACTTCAAAACACTCCAAACTAAAATAGATAACTTTGTCTGGTCCAATAAAAAACCTAGGATCAAGAGATCCACAATATATATGTAGCAGAGAGCTAGTATTTCATAGCCTACCTCCCAGTGAGGCTCAGGAACAAGTAGTTATAAATCCATAGGCAAGGTATCCAGCAGGTAAAACAATACAGTAGTATCCCAACAGCAATCCCAATAACTGGACGACACACAGTATCAGGATCAGGAGCAGAACTAAAGATTTATTCAGACAGTGGCCTTATAAAGCCTGCTCCCATGCAAGGGAGGGATATCCATTAATTTGTACAGTAGCCAATCCTGCTCTGGTAACCTCCCACACATCTCCTCCCCTCAGCCTGCATCATAATCCCCTTATCCAGGACACCAATTCCCCCCGTTTCTGAATGTACCCCTAAACCTAGGGGTACCACTTTAAATTATACATCCCCTGGTAGCCCT